TTTCTTTCCTGGACTTAGTAACTTCTGATGCCGAGCTTCCTTGGAAGTAGAGAACCCGTTTCTTAACAATTTCAGCTTTCTGGTTCTTTTTGTCGGAGATTCCAGAGTTTACAAAATGGAGATTGAAACGACTGTCAAGTGCAAAGGTTCGTTTCTTTTGCGTATCCTCTTCATCTTCTTTTCCAATATATAATAGAAGTAACAACCTCGAGTTGGGTTTAAATATTTCCATCAACTTTAAATTCTCCGATGTTTTTTATTTAACTTGCATTCTGCGAAGTTTTTGAATCAACTTGTATCCTCCGAAGTTTTGCGATTAAACTTGAATTCTCCAAAGTTTTGTGATTCAACGATCGATTTTCTCACGACTAGTATGTCCGTTCAAACAGACGGTGTAATTTTCTGCATCCTTCCAGTCATTCGTTTCTTTCAAGAAATCGAATCGAACGATCTCGATTTTCTTTTACTGACAACGTCCGAACAATGTTCCTCGGTCCGTTCGAACGTCCGTGAAAAAGACTCGACGATTTTTACCTTATCGATAGCAATACATACTCTCCGACGACAAGAAATCCGCGAGTTTCTTCTCAAGCTTGAACGACGAGCATGTGACATCCTGTTTGTCACGGAAGTCTGCGACCGATCCACGGAATGGAAAAGCATTTCCCAGTTCTTTGGGAACTGCCATTCGACTGCACTCAATGACATTTATACTCCACCACCATAGATTTGAAAGCTTCGAAATTCAAAGTAATTCTAGCTCTCGGAATGTCGGTAATCGAAGCTTTCAAATTCAGCGAAATGATCATCGGGACCGCGGATGGTGTTCGTGGAAATGTAGAGAAACTGAAATTGACGAGAATATTAACATACCCCCTGAAGCGACATAAAACCGTCTAAAATACCTCTGAACTGTACATTTTGAACATTTTTACGTGCTATAAATGCATCAGGATCCACAGCCCTCGGGGATTGAAACGTCCAAGCTTCGAAAGTTTTATATTCAACTTGAAATTCTGCTTTTATTTCGTACCGTCCGGAATTACGCAAAAACTTATAAACTCGGTTAACAATTTACGAAACAAGGTTTGTTCATTTTACCGTGTTTTGAGCAACATCCGACCGCTATAGTATCCATCGCTGGATCACTCGTCGCACCGAAAGAAATACAGTAAATCCTCGATCAATGTTCGAAGGCTTCCCGGCACTGTAACTTTTGTAAACTTTTTAACCCCTTGCCTTATAACATCGAGTCGGTCTCGTGGTGACGATATGAAAATGGATTCAACAGACAGAAATATTATTCGTTTTCTTTGAGTCAAAGTGAACGACTAGTTTGCTGATACTAATATTTAACTTTTATAGTAAATGTAGAATTGCGATAAGTACACGAATTCCTTTTGTTTCTGGGGAATTATCGATGATAAAGTAATTCTGGAAACTGCAAACATCAAGAAAATCATAGGGTAATGGGTTAATGACGTTTAGCACAGTGATAGAGCTTGGTATTCTGAAGCCAATGATATTAGTAGACTGCGAATTTTTATGCAAAATAAAAGTTTCAGAAGTAATTTATAAAGACAGGAGCAATCGTAGAAATTTTTTTTACACGCAGTCTAGATATTATCTTCAGCTTTATATGGCCATTAGTTTATGATTATTAATGTTCAATGCCGATGGAGCCTAGAAACACTCATCGAGAATTTACTGTATATCTAGTCAATAGAACGAGTCAAAACCAAAATTCTAATGCCTCATATTTCACGACAAAAAACGTTCATATTTCACTTGGACGAGAAGAAGAAGGACGATGCGTGTTCTCTCCCTTTCGCGAATCCTGTTTTTCTCTTACTCCCCCCTCTCTCTCTTTCTGTCTCTACCAGAACATTCTTCGATAGAAGGATTTATTATTCCCAGTGGACGCGAACCACGCACATGGAATGATCCTCCGCATTCGTCGTTCCTTTTACGAGATTCCCCGACACACACGTACACATACACACGCACGGGCCGCTTCGGCTAGTCTTCATTGCTCTCCAGAGCCCTTTTCCACCTTTTATCCGCTTTCCGCCTTTCCCACCGTCTCTTGGAAAGGACCTGAACCATTCCCCCCCCCCCCTTCCCCATTTGGCCTTTTGTACCATACAGCGACAAGAGCTTGCGTACGATCGTTAAAAGTGTCCGACTGCACAGTGGATAACGCGTTGTTACGCCACCATTTTGTTATCGGGAAAAACCGTTCGGTAGAGTTGCAATGCATTTATCCGAGGAAGTCGAGGACAATACTGTTTGGATGAATGGATCACTCGTGGAACAGGAATTCCTCTGGTTTTGCAATGAATACTATGACTGACGTGGGGGTCACCGGTGACCGGCAGTCGAATTGTCGGTTGTAGCTAGGAGGATCATCGATGTTCGACTGTATCATTGTATTACAGAATTTAATTTAGCTACGATCTACGGGTCTATTTGGATCCAATCACTTTTTCATTTATTTAACGCTGTTACGACTTAATTTTAATTTCATCTTTTCAGAAATGTTCGTAGATTTGCGAAACGTGGAGAGAAATTGTTACTAATCTGCGTGTTTCTTCTTGTTCCTCCTCATTCCGAATGTACAGCTGGACTGAGAACCGTTAGAGGTTAATATTACTACCCAGATAGCACATGACGCCTTGAAGACGCCCATTTTACGGCTATTTTAGGTCTAAGACGCCTTTAAGCCGTCCTCAAGACGTCATTGGGCGTCATGTGCTATCTGGGAACGTATGGTAACCCTTAACAAAATACGTGTCGAGACACCTCGGTCTGACAATTTTCTGTGATATCTCAGCATTACATACTTCCTATCGTGAAAATTTCTCTTATCCACCGTAGAGATGATTTATAAAATTCACCTAAACAATAACAATACACTCTCTGGCGTGCGTCCACTTTCATCCATCTCCTTGTCACAGCTCCTCCATCAAAAGTCGACGCAATATCGGTCGCCTATGGTCCTTCAGGAGTCAAGACACGGGTAGAAAACCAACAAAATTCCCCGAATGACCCTAACCTTTCCACACAAGAAAACCCCCGATAAATTGATTTCCCAATAGCGACCCTGCATCGCAAGTGGCCCAAACATATTTTCACGCAAGACCAACTAGTTCTCGATTTGCACGACGCGATACAGTAAATCCTCGATGAGTGTTCGAAGGCACTGAGCGTTAAATATTCCATAAACAAATGGCCATATGCTGCTAAAACAAATATCAGTGACTTAAGAATTCCAAGCTCTATGACCATGCTAAACCTTAGTAAAAAGTCAGCCTGGGAACCTATCTTTTCCAATGCCGAGGAGTCTTCTAGCACTCATCGAAGATTTACTGTATTACCCACAAATCAGCCTCTATCCCCGACACAGAAGGACCAATCCGTGATCGCAGATACCTTTTTCCGCGATGGGAGGCGATAACCTTGCCGGGAATCAAGTTAAGAGAGCCCCCAAAATCTCATCAGAGGGTAAAAACGATCGGGTCCTCCCCTCTCCCTATAGGCGTAGCCAGGTTATCAGTCAGGGGGGGGGGTCAAAAATATTAACACATCGAGTGCACAGTGAAAAAGGATGTACGTAGCCAGACACACTTTGTTTTGTTTTTTAAGTCATAAATCGTTGAAAATGTATACATTTTGTTAATAGAGGTTGTTGGTCGTGTTTCAAATTATATTGCAATATTATATATTACCCAAAAATTGTATAATTCTGGGAAGGGAGGGGGGTAGAAAATCCAATTTTTTTTTCTTGTAGCGTGGGGCAAAAACCACTTTTTCCCCCCATGCCTCTCCCCTTTCCGTTTAAGAAGAATTACTCTCATCTCGGATACGTCAAAACGTAAATTGGCTCGCGGGACAGAGGGGCTGCGCCCCGAAGCTGGCGCGGGAGAAGTATCGTAAGCGAATAAAGGCCCCGAAAGACGCTTTTGTTCGCGAGCAATAACGCTGAGAACGACAGCTCGCCGGCCCGCGGGCGCGATGAAAGAAACAAAACGCGGAAGTCAGTCGAATCGAGCTTGTCGACGACCAACTTTCTGTCCATCTCTCTCTCTGTCTCTCTGTTTCTGTTTTTTCCCGTGTCCTGTTCCGTGTCTTGATCGGATTTCGTTCTCTCTGTCCGCGCGAGCGCGTGTATTTTTTTTTATTTGCTTCTCTCGAGCGTATTCCGTTCGGTTCGTTTCGTTTCTTCGCGGGCAGAACAGATCGGCGGAGACACGACTGTCCGCGGGCGAATAAACGAAACGGCGCACAGCGGGGGGAAAACCCAAGAGAAAGGGAAGAATGTCGAAATTTGAAAGTTACGGGATTACGTGTGTTTTACATATTTCTTGTAAATTCATAATTTGAGCTATGAGAAAATATAAAAAGATCATAGTAGTTCACTTCTTCTAATCTATGGTAAACACGCTTTAAAGATTGTATTTTTTTCTCCCGAAAAACTTTAAGTTGAGATTTTTAAGTTTCGATTGTATGTAAGAACAAAATTTTTCTGAGATTCGAAATGAGTAGTATTAGTTCTAGTAAATAATAGCAAATAATTCATTACGCACAGCCATCTTTCCATTAAACATCGATTGAAAAACCTTGATAAATTATTGGTTTTTTTAGTTACTTTCTGGGAGCTTCCGAGCAAATCTGTTTGTTGTTCCATAATCCACATATATTTGTATTTGCAACTGCCCAAAGGATATTTGCAACTTAAAAAAAGTATCATTAGAATCATTGTAAATCAATTTTTTAACGACTCGTTAAAATTTCAATTTTTAATGGTAGGAATATTTTTTCGAAAAAATTTTAGTAGTTACTACATAATTGTAATACTTTTTTTTATAAAGTAGTTTAATAATATTCGGCATTTGGAGTGCAAAAAATAAATTTTTTCTCTATTTCTTCGGCTTCTGAGACGAGGTTTTTTTCTAGACAGGTGGACAACGTTTCATGTTGGATCTTACGGTTGGTTTCAGGTAAAATAAAATACTCGGAGAGGGTATACGACGCGTGCATGGACGCCTTTGACTGTCTGCCGCTCGCGGCCCTCATGAACCAACAGTTCCTCTGCGTGCACGGCGGCCTGTCGCCGGAAATTCACAATTTAGAAGACATACGCAAAGTAAGTAACTTGTTCTTCGCTCGATTATTCATTCACGAGCGGGCGGTCGCTTGAGTAAAAGTGAATATTTAGACTCTGGATGCGCAAGGCGGACGATTCGTCCACATTGACAGGTGTGAAGGTTGTTTTCATTCGGAATGAACATCCAAAGTGATCTGTGAATATTGTCTAATTCTAATGAATTGAATGGATTGTGGAATAAATCACATCCGCAGTGCACATCCAAAGTGTAAACAGGTAAATTCGTCTTAACCCTAGGTTGAGAAACTATCCTTTGACTTACGTTATTACCAGATTGCGGATGTTTATGCATTTATAGCGTCCCCTGACTTGCAAAACGTAGCAAAATAAAGATACTAGTAAAATTTAACATGGAAAAGAAATTTCTGTGCAATTTTGTGGTTTTTATAACAATGTCCAATACTGTAACTTTGCATAAACATTCACAGTCTAGTTATTACTAATCATTCGTAGAAATTACGACTGAAAGGAAACATGTAATAGTTTCGAAAAATATTATTTTTCTTGAGACAGGTACCTACGTTATAAGAATTTATGATAGGCAGACTTAAAAATAATGAAAAATTAAGACAGTAATTATTCAGCATAACCTGCACACTTGTGGACAATATTGACAGGGACGTGCCGATTTCGGAGATTCGCGAATTTGAGGTCGTAATTTTTGCCATAGTTTAGTAATCTAGGATTAAGCTTGAATACGAAAAACTTTTGGGAATTTTGTACAGTTAGGACTGGACCACTGATAATTTATGGATTTATACCATCCCTCAACTTGGAGAATGCAATAACATACAGATATTAATGAAGTTTAATACTGTTAATGCGTTATTACCAATGTAATAAAGCCTCTAGTACAGGATTTACAATTCTGTCTGATTTTAATCCGAGATATTCGTACCTGAAATTACGAATTCGCTTAAACTTCCGCAGTCTACTTGCGATATACGGAAACGCGTGTGTAATGACCTTTCTAATTAGCGATAACCTTCTACGATTTTAATTTTCATAGAATATTCCATAAACGTAGAAATTTCGCAAAGCGTTCATGGTCTAATTGTTAGATTGGTGTGAGAGTACGTATTGTCGTTTTTGTAATTTTCAACGAACGCGAGTGCATGATACTTCATTTTTTTTTTAAGACAGGGAATGATTTTGTTTGAGGTAAATCTTCACGCAGGAACGACGAAACTATTTCATCAACGAAACGTCTTCGACACCCTCGTAATAATAGACGCGTGTAATTATTCAATATCGCGGCAGTGTCGGTATTAATAGAATATTAATTCGTTAGCGCATTTTATATTAATAATGATCGCTATCGGTGTCACGAAACGCTCGAGCGGGTATTATTAATTAACAGCATATTTATTCGACCAGCGTGCCACACTGCGAACAAGTGCACAAAGGGCCGTTGAAGTCGCATTTGCATTCTGAAGTAATATATTGCGATGCAATCATTTAAACCCCTGAAAACCTCAGGATACGTTTTAATTAACTTTGTTCATTAACGCTTTCACAGCGAAATAAAGTCTCGCCGTCGAGTGGAAAGGTCGCTTTTAGCCTTCATACTATTACTCTACTGAAGAAGTTGCTATTCTTCGTGAAAGTATTTCAAGAAGAGAATCGAATTCTTGCAACGTTGTTTTTCTTCGGAAGCACTTGAATATAAATCACTTAACACCACAGTTACACTAGTGGCAGAAACGCGCTTCCAAACGATTTACAAAGCGTGTTTATAGACAGGTCACACTAGATTTCAAAAGATTTCAAATAAAAATAAAAAATTCACCCAAAGGATTAATCCCGTACAGAAACGTTAGCAATAAAAATCAGCTCTAAAATGATTTACAAAGCGTGTTTATAGACAGGTTACACTGCGTTTCCAAGAATTTCTATTACCAAATAAAAAATCGACCTAAAGCATTGAAACCATACAGAAACATTAGCGATCAACTTCAGCTCTCGAATGATTTACAAAGTGTGTTTATAGACAGGTCACACTATGTTTCAAAGAATTTCAAATACCAAATAAAAAATCGACCCAAAGGATTGATACCGTACAGAAACGTTAGCGATAAAAATCAGCTCTAAAATGATTTACAAAGCGTGTTTATGGACAGGTTACACTACGTTTCCAAGAATTCCTATTACCAAATAAAAAATCGACACACAAAGAATTAATATATACTACCGCTTCATAGAACTAAACGGCGTACATTTCAGAAGCATAAGAAAATGCAGAATTAAAATAAGCTTCAGGAAAATTGAATGGATCTGACTGGTACCGAATGTTGAAAGGATCAATCGTAACATGATTTCCAGCAGCCAGGGAATCTTTTCCAGAAGCCATCGAACGAAATGCCGTGCCGCGGAACAGACGAGGAACCTGAATTTCGTTACAAAGGAAGCGTGTTCCTATGCGAGCTCTAGCAAATCGCGGTGAAGATGCACGCGATCCAGCATCCTTCTCCTCCTGCCCTGTGTTTTGTCCTCTCTCTGGGAGCGTTCAGTCGCGAATTCCGCGCATTTTTCTGTCCGCGATACTCTCGTGAAATCTACAGTTTCGTAGTTTTAGAAAATCCAGTTTGCGGGCTCTCGTCGGTTGCGGCTCGATCCGATCGAAACAACGAGCCCTGTCGTAAAGGATTTCGATGAATATTTCAGGGGAACGGACGATATTCGATTGTATTAGGTTTGTCGTACGCGACTTGGCGGATTTGTCGGTGACTGTTTATGGGAACTGCCTTTCAGGAAAGTGGCACGAAATCAGGTTTCCCTGTTTTTCGGGATATTTTCATGTTTTCGTATTGCTGGGATTTCGCGGGGATATTGCAATCTCTCAAATGTTTAACTCTTTTTCGCGGATTTTATAACGAGATTCCTACTTTAGTCTTTAACTGAGTGAGAAATTCTATATCTTTTCTGGATTGTGGTGGTTCTGATCTGTGATGGTTCTGATGGTCTCTCAGAATTTTTCAAGTGTTTCGTTGACTCGTAATTTCTCAAAAACTTGAAGTGTTCTTATTGTGCAGCATTTATTGTTACAATTTCTCACGTGAATAAACTTGATATTCTTCTTGATTAACAAACAGAATACTCCCGTTGTTATAGATAAATGCCGAAATAATTTCGACACGAGGGGGTTAAATATCGAATTCAGTGATCAAAACTAAAACTATCTACGACTCAATCTTTTTTTACTAATTGACTAATTATTCATCGAATAATAATGTCGATCGTTTCTGCGTTATTTCTCGATGGTGAAAAAGACGGAAGACCGTGCAATGTTTATTTATGAATGTAGGATAGGAAGGGGAGAAGGTTGGGGAGGACGTTCGAAGAGCGTTTGGATCGAGGGCACAAGTCGTATGGGATCTGGTTTTATGGGCATTTACGTCTCAAAGGAAACGACTTATCGTCCTACCGGGACTTGTCAATTTCCATATCAAACATCTCGGAATGTCGCCGATAAAATCGCTCGGAAATAAAACATTGCGCCGTGAAATTTCGCGACTACGAACGGAATTCTTCGAGCGACTTCTCCGCTCGCGAGATCGCGATCGGAATTTCTTATTCGCGGCTGTAATTCGCTACATTCCGTTTCGTCGATAGAAATATTAAAACGGTCCGTCTGCAGTCTGACGGCTTTGCTCTTTGAAGCGTTCGAACACTTTGTCGAGGGTCACAAAGAATCATGTTAATTAATTAGACTATCGATTTACCCTGGTTCGTCTCCTCTGAAGTTGGAGCTAATACGATTTTCTAGGTTTACTCTTTTCGAACCGATTCGTTGAGACAGTGATTCGGTTTCCATTCATTATCGATCGATTCTTCGAAATTCCGTCGATTGTTGCCTAACAATCCTTGACCCGTGGTAAGCACACTTGATTGCAGCACTCACTGCAAGCACACTTGTGCAAATCGGAATTTCCAAACTTTGATGTCTTATTAGAAATAAATAGTAATATTTAAATGAAACGTATGGTTTTGATAGACAATTTCCTTAGGAATATAAATCGGTGATACCCACATTTCATGGAGAGTCTTATGTTTTCTATAAATGTTAATTAAAAAAAGTAATATTTCTAAAACACTCAAAATTTTTGCTGATACGAATTCGCACCGGTGTGTGACTACTACGGGTTAATTGCAGGAACGAAGGTTGTACTGGATTAAATAGTAACATGTTCCAACTTCATATTGTCGGTGAAATTGTAACAGGTGGAACTTCCGATGGGTCACGATTATTTTAATTGTACTCAAAGCGACGAGTGAGCTCATTGCGAGCTACTATTACGTAACTAACAATATCTTTTTCTATCTTAACTATTAATTTACATTATATCGTTGTAGAAAACGTGACGACATTCGGCCGTAATCGGTTACAAACACAGAAAGTAGAAATGGTTAGTAACGGGTCAGACACAGTATCAAACCAATTAATCTTCAGCTGACTGTTCACAGAGGTGAACTTATCGTCAATTTCTATAAAACATTCTTTTATTTTTCTACAACCATTGTAACAAATACCATTCAAAGGATTCCGTTTCAAAGAGTCTAATTTGAACACCATGATGCAGGAATAACTAATTGCAATATCCAGTTCCCCGTGCACACACACACACACACAGCCTCCGTAAAACGATTTCAGTAAATTCGCCGTGGTAATCGACGCTGGGAGGGAACCGTTGGAAAAGCTACAGAGGAGTGGAAGGGAAAACTGAGGGGCGCGAGGTAGGACAATCTTGGAACGGTCGGTTGACTCGAACTTTTCCGTGGAGTTCGCCGGTCACGTACGCGCGGGCGAGAGGAAAATAAAAAGGGCACATCCGTTTCCTTGCATTCAGTACACGGGCACACGTTTTATAAGCGTCGTTTAAAACTTGTCCCATGAGGAAACTTTCCTCTCTCGACGGCTTCCCGGCTCTCTGTCTCTCTTTCCGTGCTGGTCTAGCCCGGGCTGAACTTGAATCCGCCCG